ATGATAGAAGGAAAATTGTTTTTGATGAGATCGGAGTGTTAGCTCACAGTAGGAGGTTGCCGGGATGTCGGGCGGCCCGGCGATGAGCCGAGCAGATTGAGATGAGAAACCTTTCAATCCAAGGATGACAACGCGGTGTTTCTTTTATTGCGAGCCGCCTGCGATGCCAACTTTCACACACCTACATTGGGGAGCCATTCTTGCGTTTATGTTTCATGATAATTGCATTAACGTAGCGTTGTTTCTAGCTTGCCGTCAGTGCGGGCTGCATTGTCCCGTCAGCCGGCCATCTTCCCGCTCCTCGCGCGCGATGTCTCTCAAGCAGACGATAAATGACAATTTGGAAACTGAAGCATTTTTAAATGCGGAAACCAATCTTTCCCCTCAGATCGCAACTCATTTGAAGAGAGGAGCGTCAGATAGCGCGGAACAGATGGCGGCCACTACCTGAAGGCGACTCTTGCCGCCCCTTTCGCATTATTCTTACATTAAATTACACCGGAGACGTTTTCCCCCACCCCTCCGTATTGTCGTCGTCTAATGAAGCCGCTCAACACATCCCAGGCGTTGACGTCGACCCTCCTCCTTAGCGCTGCAAGAAGTTGGAGCAATTGCTTGTGGTTAATCTGGTTGGTCACTTGAGAAGCTTTCTGAAGGGGGTTGTCGAGCCTCCCACCGATAGCTATCAATGACATTTTCAAAAGATGTTCAATAAATTAGGGTTGCAAAGTACCATACTTAGTTTATTGCTTTTTATACATTAACATATTACCTAATTTGTAGTTCTGAGCCACCAATATACTGAAAGCCTGTTTTAACCCTGTGTTCTCCCTGGACGTAAATGTCCCATTATCTGCGACACATGATATTTACCTCCGAACAGAGACCATCTCAAACTCAACACAACACCAGTCGTTATGTTTCAGATCTATCAGTGATTTTATTCTTTTTAATGGAGATTAAGCTAATTTGTCTAAATACCATTACTTTGTATTATTATGCAACATATTTTTAAAATAAAAATCACAAGATTTAAAATATAACTTTTCTAAATGTTCTTTCAAAGTTTGTCAGATATTATATTGTAGTCATTTAATACAACCATTTGTCCCTGGAACCAAATGGAGCACGCAGTCCGGTATATATGGCTTTGTGATAGACCCCGGGTGCACCTATTGTGCTTCCTTTCTCTGTGTGTGATGTAGCCAGGTGCTGACACAGGGGGTAGTAAAAGGGAGTGGCAGGTCTGTGGCCCTAGCACTTCCAATCACTCGGACATTCTTTAAGGGCCCATGAATTCTGTCAACTATAGAGATAAATTTGTCTGTTGGACGGGTGTACCCGGGGTACACATTTCCCGTCTAATCATGGGTTGTAGTTCATAAGTGAATCTTTACGACACTAGAGTGAGTGAGTGAGTTTGGTGTAACGCTGCTTTCAAAAGTATTCCAGTTAGATCACAGGATGTCAGCTTACTGTGGGAGGAAAGCCCGAAGTAATGCAGGTCTCAGACATTTGGTGAAACACACGAGCACAGGTATAGTGCTAACAAAGCTAGAAATATAATTAGGGAGAATCTTTAAACACCAAAGACAAATAACAATCTCGGCCTTTTGCTTGAGAAATATTGTTGTTTTACGAAAAACTGTAATTTAATGCATGATACCGAATGTGTTTCCTTACATTCGGGCGGTCGGGTAGCCTAGTGGTTAAAGCGTTCGCTCGCCACGCCGAAGACCCGGGTTCGATTCCCGACATGGGTACAATGTGTGAAGCCCATTTCTGGCGTCCCCCGCCGTGATATTGCTGGAATATTGCTAAAAGCGGCGTAAAACCATATTCACTCACTCACTCCTGTACATTCACAAACCAAGGCCAACTTAATAAAATATATCTAACATATTTTATCTGCCTAGTATGTCGAGGTTCTCATAAACATGTGGATTGGCATATATTCTTGCCCAAAAGAGAATGCTGGCGCATTGAAAGAGACGCAATAACAGTCGGTTATCCACCGAAGTGAAATGTTATCCACCGAAGTGTAATGTATCTGGGTACTTCAAAGGAATATGTTACACTAGGTACTGAAACTAAAGCAGTCGTACAGGGTATAGTAGACCCATTGTACAGGAGGGAGTGTGCACAAGGTTAAGTTGGCCCAATATGAGCTTAGCTCTGTCAGCAAAGGCTTCCACGCTGCCAGCGAGTCCGATCTTGCACAAACTCTGTAAGTGAAGCCAGTCTTGGGGTCCTATCCTGTCACTCGCCTTCTGGAGAAGGTCATCCCGAGAGTGACCAATGTGTGATGGACGCACGACCCGCATACATCTTCATAAGTGGTCAAATTAACGCCCAAGATGCCACCCGCCCGATCTGCTGGCAACACCGCGTCTGCGCCTGGGAGGTTTCTTAATGTAAGGAACATGTCTCCAGCCCTCTTGTGAGATATGGGACCTTTAATAATGGAAGGAGTGGTCTCCCATGGTGTCCGTCCTTCCAACCTAGCGGGTCTTGAGGATAATCAGCGAAATATGGAAGTTCTGTCTGGTGGAAATCGTTATCACGTCCCCAAGGAGCGCCCAGGCACTCATGGTAATTTGATACTCTATGAGCACACACGGGCTTATTTAGCGTAATAGCAATTTCCCTATGATGTTTCGCTTCTTACGGGGTCTCCTGGGGAAAGCGGTTTCTCCGAGTGACAAAGGCGATGGTCGCTCATCTAGAGATGAAACAGTCTTAACAACGTGTCAAAAGTTATGAATCTTGCCGGAAAGATTGCGGATATTTTTCACACTGCATGAGCTGAGGGTTGTGCTACCTACTTAAAGCGTGACGAAGACATTAGCGTTGTGGCCAAATCACATTAGGAATACTTGTATTGTGCCGTGTGGAGGAATACTTTCCATTCTCTGGATTCTGTAATGAAATTGCAGACATTTCTTCCCCATACACTTGCACTGATAAGCGGCTTCAAATCAAGGAGGTTTGTTGGACAACTCTTCCATAAAATGATTTGTTTGAGCAAATGTCCCTTCTAGACATCCACTCTGACAATCACCATGGAGACCATTATCTTCATCTTCTCGCAGACTTTAAAGCCCCCCGCCCCATAACTGTGTAGACTTAAAAAATGTTCTACTTCCCATACACGCGTCCATGTTGTAGTCTTCCAAAGGTGATAGTAACTCACTTCCTTGGGTCTGTGTTCTCAAGAGAACCTCTGAACCTTTACCTCAACGTCCTATATCTGGGTAGATTTGAAAGAATATACTACTTCCCTAACACGTTGATGTCATCATCCGACCGCCCTGTAGACTTCTGAAAGTGATGTCTTAGCGCTAACTGAGGGCACATAGGAGTCCCTTCTGTCATTAAGTCTATATGTCTTTTGGCTTTACCTAAAATGCTTATCATTAACTAAAGAAGTATCGTATTTTACCTTCAAGTAAAATGTCTACATTATTTAAAGGACCGTGGCGTTTAGTAATAATACCTACATTTTAAAAAGACGTATCGTAGCTTCAAGTAAAAATGTCTACATTATTCTAGAAAAGGGTAACAAAAGTAGGTGTTGCCTAATACCACAGTCAGCAATACTAAGACCATACGGCTTGAATCCACGGTAATTCCTTAAATAATATAGTATTTCTGTATGAAGCATGACAATTCTTTATGTATCTGGTTTAATCAAAGATTCGCAGTGATCCATTCATATAGTCTTCGTCACTTATGTTCCCTTTTTACGCCCAGTGGAATCTGTTTCGGCAGAAATTCAAGACTGATTTTCTCTGTTGTGACGAGGGGGCACGGGTGGCCCAGTCGTCTAAGGCGGCTCGATTCGCTGTGCAGAGTTGCGTCCCTTGGGCACGCCAGAAACCTACGATTGTGGGTTCGAATCCCGGTTCGCCCCGATTATGTTTCTAGGTTTGTCAGCACCATACCCGTGCTCGTGGGTTTCACCGAAGTTGTAAACGTCTAAGACCTGCATCACTTCGGGCTTTCCTCCCACATTAAGCTGACACGCCGTGATATAGCTGGAATACTGTTAAAAGCGGCGTTAAACCCAACTCACTCACTCTGTTGTGACGTGTTGAAATTACAGGTGCGAGGGTAGTTGTGTGTGGTAGGGGTAGTACCATCTCCAGCACCTAGTGCCCCTCCTGTTAAGATCCAGTCACCTACTGATCTGTTTTCCTGGGATCGATCTGGTCCATTATATCTATGTACTGTATCACTGAACCCAACGCTCAGACCATCATTTGCCCTATACGTGATTAATCGTTATTGTATAACATGATGACCACCGGACAACGCTAAAACCTTTGTTAAAAATATTTATATTTTTCGTTTCATTATCATTTATGCTTTTAAGATGGGACAAGCGAAGAGTGATAAAGTCAAACCCCAGGAGGTCAACCAGGGACCAAAGTGAGATAGATGCTGTGAAAGAGCGTTTGACCCCTATTCCGTAAACGACTGTAAATATTTCATAGTTGTGCGGACAATAGTGTGTGCACAGCCGGGTACTTCTGCACGTGCGCAAAACGCTACCAACAAATCAACGTACAAGAATCAATGAAATTATTTTTTCTCCAACTTAAGCGGGTTAGACGAGAATAAAAGCCCTATGTTTTCCACGGACGAGTTGCGTTGCTCTTATTGTCAAAAACCAACTTCTCGAAAAAAATAATCAGTACATGTTTAATTTCCTTTCTAATTTCTTTCAAGGACAAAGTGGCGATGTATCGCTAAAGAAATCTGTCGTCTCCGTTACAAGCCGTGTTCGGTGCTCCGCTTGTCCCGTATACCCGTCACGGTTCATGGTCTGGGTTCAGGCCCAGATCCACTCCTACAAAGGTGCTCGGGAGGCGGAGCAGACCGACACGTGAGCGTAATCACGCCGCCGCCATATCTACGTGAAGAACGTGCAAACTAGCGGAGCATGACGTGTGAAGCACGTGCTGAACGTGACGTCAAGGCGAGACTCACACGCCAACATGGCGGCACAGATGGCTTGGTCCCAGATTTCGGCTTTCATCTCACAAATTTTTCACTTCAGGTAATAATTTTTACGATGCGAAAGTAATAATCAATTACATTTAGAGCGGTTTTGAATGGAATTTATTAGTGACGTTTAAAGTGATTTTATCTTAAAACATAAACTCACGTGTTTAAGATCGCTTAACAATTCCGAATTTACTTAACTAACAACGTGTTGCCATTCTTTATGAGAATATACGAGTATGCCATTTCAACCTTATAAGCTATAACAAAAAGGACAATACCGGCATTAAGATTAATAAAGATATATAATCAGATTGTCTTCAGGTACGTGGTCTGCGATTCATATCTTTTTTCCAAAGACGTGTGAACTTGGTGCTTCCCAAACCGTGATGCCAACGGACAAGAACCCTGGTAATAAAGCTGTGGTATATCGACGATAACCGTTCCAAACAATCGGGTACATTCAGGAAGAGTCTGTCCTGTGCAGACTAACAATGCTTCTATACATCTCCGTGGCACCGACACATGATAGTATCATTACCCCAGCTGGTGTCTCAGGCCAGACTGCCCCACCGCCATGCCATGTCTTTGGCGTTGATGTATGTTAGGACAATATATTTATACATGTTTCGAGATTCCTAGGTGTATTTTGTGACACTCTCATCGGGAGGTACAGAAATTACACGTTAAATTATTAATTTGTTTAGTTAAGGTATTTAAGTCCTTTTGATAATCATGTGTTCGTTTTATATGAAAAAGTCTCCTTTGAGTTTATGTGTTTTATGGTTCAGAAAGGTTTTCTGGACAGAAAGGTTTTCGTATTCACTTTGCTCTAGAATAACGACTTAGTGTCAGTGTGCTTCATGTGTTAATGTTAATGTGTTACGTGGAAATGTCTGTTTGAGGTTTCGGCGTCCTTGACCTTGGTACGGGGTAGATTTCAGCAGGTGCGTGGGCCGTGTGGCTGTCTGGGGTCCGTCCACCTTGCCCATTGCCTGCCTAGCATCCTTCGGTGGACAGGGATTTTCTTTCTGCTTTGTCTGTCCCCTTATCAGATAACGGTAATTGGATTACAGTAGCACAAAGCCTTTATCTTAATTCATCGCGAAATATGAAACAAAAATCGACAATGCAAACGCGTTTAAAGCAACTGGGCCGGTGAATTTGTATTCTGGGCTGGAATTCTTCTTGGTGGAAAATGACTTGCATTTCCTGTCAGTCAGAGTTCTGATAGGAATCAGCGAGGACACGTCCCAGTAATCCACAACAGCCAGGCAAGAACTGTATGTTATCATTACAAATACGGGAAGCAAATACATAGCTTTTTGATGGCGCATTTCTACCTTGGACCACTCAGCGGCGTTCACGCTAGCTTTTAACGGATCTGTCCCGATCCGGCGTTTCTAGCCAATTTAAGATTATTTGTCCTGCACTTGAGTTCCGCGATTCTCGCCAACTTTATATGGTCTTGGACGAATCTGGAGATGCATACAAACTTAGGAGATTTACAGACAGGTTCTTAACGAGCCATGGCACCAAGTTCCGGGTCTGGTTCCAACATTTACTTCTTATCAACTGTTGATGAACAAACATTCTCAAAGGACAAGGGATGGCTCTCGTTTACTCTGCGTCTATTTAGACGCTGTTGCTAAGAAATAGCACAAGTGCTGCGTTCTGCGAAGACATCCGTTGTAGTATTTTTCTTTTTAATAAGCGCATTTTACTCGGAGACCTGTACACACAGTGTATCCGTCAGCTAGAAGAGCAAAGATAAACTCTGTGTACCGGCTAATCTTATTTCCCCACTATCCATCACCGCCCCCACCCCCTCCCCTATCCTGTTTTCTGTGATCTTTTTTAACAAATGGTTATGAATATAATATATCGATTCTATTATAGCATACTCTTTTGTTTCAATTTCAATAAATTTCGATTATTCGTTAAAATGTTATTCTTAGAGTTTTTGGAATATTAATTTGAACATGGGATATTAATTCATGTACACTGTCGGGCCGATGTCCCTCAAGCCTATTAATGTTGTCACCTTAACTGTCTAATATCTTCAACACAGACTATTCCCGAGAGAGGGCGCTACTCAACCTTGCGATTGTTTGGGTTCTGTTTAACCTCAAGCGATAGTACACTCTTGCTAATCTGACCTTAAATTACCTTTTACAATTGTAAAACCATACCAGCGCGGATCAAGTCATAAAATCTTATTAATTATCGTCAACTAGTTTTCTTCTAATTGTCCTCAATCATTCCCGTGTCAGCTAATTCAATAGGTCTCATGTCACGTCGGAGTAATTTGGTCAAGCAAACCACATATTTAGTGCAGGGCGTGTCCATCTGCCTGAGCCAAGCGAAGTGACGACCAGGAGCGTCTATTAACACAGGCTGTTATTAAGTCAGCTATGATTGCAAAGTAAATGATTTTCAAAACTTCTGTGATTGTTTCTTTTATGCTTTGCAGTTGCATTGACGTACCAGACTCGTTTATCAACCCCCCAATGCCGTCCATCAGTTCTTCCGCCCTGGGGTCACTTCTCCATCTGGCTCACAGCGAGGCCTATCGGGACCCACCCTGGAGACTAGCTTCTCCCGTCATCGGACTATTATTATTCATTTAGTCTCAGATTGCTCAAGAAATTGCATTGTTATTTGATACACTCCCTGCAAAGAATTAGTGCGACTGTGAAATTAGAAGTCCATCAGTGCATGGTAACGGCGGTTCTGGCGTGGTAGGGACCCCCATACCACTCGCCCCCACGGGATTGCGCCACCTAGAGAGGCCACATCTTGACCGCGCAAGTCTGTCTATGTATTTCGTGGATATGACTGGTTGCCAAATGAATGTTAACTGATTGAGTAGTTGATATGTCACACTCTCAAATATCACGGATACTACAAGTTGTTTTGAAAAATAACGGTTTATCATTATTTGATAAGAATTGAACGTTTAACGATGGATCAGTTTATTTGACAATTAATACCGAGAGAATTGGTGTCATCTTGTTCTATATAGTCCATACATAATTGTAGCGAGTGAGTTGTGTTTTACGCCGTGCTGCACAGTAATACGGTTACTTCACAGTCTGCCAGTCGTTTGAAGACATCCTTAAATCGCAGACCCTTTCTTTGCGAAACCCACGATCACGGTATAGTGCAGACAAGTCATGGATCACAAACCATGGATCATAAAAGATCACAATCCATGGATCATTAACAGGGAGAATATACTACTAGAATATAACTACAAGAGCCTTCATGTCTCGACGTCGTTGCTACATTGAGTGAATGAGAAGTGTTTTACGCCGCTAATATTGCAGCCATATCACGACATGGTTACGACATGTATAGTTATTCAATGAAAGCTCTCAGGGAATTAAACCCGGAAATATACTTTGTATAGGCATACACACTACCCCTTGAGCTACCATGATTTATTAATGCCATTCACAAATCAGTGTCCTAAGTACTAAAAGCATTAAGTAAATGTATCGCTGCGTCGGCTTTGTTGTTCTTGCTGATGCCGCTGTCACGGGTGTATATTAATTTTAATAATGAATAGTATCATTTTCAAATATCGTTAAAGGTGGAGGTGTATATTCTTTGTAGCCCTTGTCATTGCAATTAATCAAACGCACTTAGTAAACAAATCGTTCAAAGTGCTTTTGCTGTTCCTGTATTTCTTTATGATAAATAGAGCATTAGTGCAAATGTGATCAAAGATTAATTCTCATTCCTCGCAAGCCTGGTATACTAATTGAAGCGTTTCTGCTATTGTTCAGAATTTCATCAATCTTGACCAGCGTGAAGTAGTAAATCTATTGCCATGAAATATGCATGTTACACAATCAGGGGATTGGTGCAGCCTTCCAAACCAAGAACCACGTAACAGTAATGTTCGTAAAATAAAAAAACACCAGTAAAAGCATTGAAAGCCGTTTGTGCTCCTCACTATCATAATCATTGACATAACGCTAGCCAAGGACGGAGACACGGCAGGGAAGACAGGTGCGCATTGCCCCCCCCCCCCCCCCCCCCCCCCCTCTCTCTCACGTTAAGGTGGTTCGATTGAAACTTCATAATTCTCATTCCTTATCCTTGAAACGTGGAAAGGTTAACGAATTCTCTTAGTTGGTCTCACAGCAATTTGATATTCCACCCATGACGTTTCGTACAGTACGTGACTTGAAGATGCGGCTCTCACTACAGTTGCGCGCGGACAAGACACGACGCATTGTGACTCTAGTCACGTGCATGTGCGCGGGCTGGACAAGGTCCACAAGATGTCCGAGCCTGTTCAATGGTATTGTGGAAAATCCGCGTTGGAGTGACAATTAGATGCTTGTTAAAAAAGGAATACGTTCGAGAGAATAAATCAAAATGGCTTCCCGTTATAACTGCTCCGAGATAAAAGGACTCACCCTTCCCATTCTGAATGAATAGGATATTATAAGAGGTGATGTGGGCACAAATAGTGTTTATTCTAACATCCTTGCAGAACAATCGGATAATAAATGTTTTTACCTAAATAAATTCTTTTACAAAAAGAATGTTTTGAAATAAAGCTCTCTCTCAGGAAAGGACGACAGTGGTTGTTTATTGAATTTCTACCCCATCTTTCTACTTTAGATCAGTCCCATGGTGTTTCTCTTTAAGTTTGACACGGTGTGGTTTAATGACTTTGTATTCTTTACAGATAATGCAAACATGCAATTTCCCTTTATCGTGTCCTCCGCTGTTATCAAACAAAGCCATGTTGATACCAATCTAGTTTTGTTTTTCACAAAGTTTGTACGCTCAGTGTGCTGGTCTCTCAACAGGTGCACCAAATATTGCCTCGACATGTCGTTATGCGCATGCCTGCCGACATATTGTTCCCATGTGTCATCGTGGTATTATCATACAACACCTCAGTGGGTTATTCGAGGCTTGGACTTCCCGTGCTGAGGTGACCCACGTAACCCACAGAACCGAACCTACGCACGTGCGATTTGTAACACTTTGCAAGATGACCCGACATCGAGTCAAAACAATATCGCTCTGTTT